AGCATGTTTACTTTGAATACAGCCCAAAAAGAACGGGACCTTCAAATCCTCTACGGTGTTTTCCTTCGTGTCTCCGAGTTTAATAAATTCAGAAGCCAACTTGTTGATCGAAACTACAACTCTCTCCACATGCTGCCATACTGTCTTTGTTGAATGCTAAAAATGTTCTTCGTTGCAACGCTGCCTGTTCAAGTGTGCTACCATGGATAGGAACATCGCCACCTGCTTATGCACTTTAACAAGTTGTCTACTATATACTTTAAGAAATCTCCACTCCATTAGTGTCTGACAGAGATCCTATATTGTGCCTGCGGACACACATAGTAAGTTCTTAATTCTAACCGGATGAGCGAGAAACAACTTGTAAGTGAACACAGCCCCAATCAATTAAGAATCATAGCATCGCATTGGTCGTGGGTTCGAACATAGAAATGCCAAAGAGGCACTCCCTAAAGCAGTAACAACAAATATGTTATCCCGTGCGCGTGTGTCGTCCTCCTCTTGCTGGCATAGTACCTATGTGACAACAAACTTTTCATCATCACTCGCACTACTAATAGAAGACATATTCCTGCATGTTAAAACGTCTGCAAGATAAATTTATTAGGTCAAGTACTCACATTCACGTACCACTCAATTCATTTCAGTTACACATTTCCTAAGAATTCAAAAGACCGAAATATGATAGAAAAAGCCAACAATTTAGCTTTCCACAAACTTAAATACATATACCCGTCCCAACTAGTAGTGATACTAGGAAAAAACGTATCGGGGTTTTACTAAGCATGTTGTAATACCTAATACTGCAGCACCAACACACAAATATCCGTCCCACTACATAGCGACCGTAAAAATTAGCGTACTGGGTATATAGAGCGCACATTGAAATACCTAAAATGTTCGACCGACACACACATAGATGCAAATCAACTTATCCCAACTACTAAGAATGATTGTCTACTAACTCCAAAACCCAGTTGTGGCATCCCTCTAGCATCTGGTGAAGGAAAAACTCACACACTGACGCACCTACGGTACAAGGAGATATATACTAGGCGTACGAATTGCATCCGTTGCAAGCTCCACTGGTTCTTCCCGCCTACTAACAATGGAGTGAGTGTTAGCCTCTACCCTGTCCACGATAACAGTTATCTTCTTGCTAAGAACCAAACACATCTCCTCAGTCCATAATGAGGTTCCCCGGTGCCTAACGGGTCGACGTGATGGTCCAGCTCCTGTCGATAGTGACTTAATGTCTACGGAACCATTGCCAACTGACCTCATATGAGAATAAGTTTCACTCATCGGACGGGTTGTCCCGGTTCTCCCTCCCTCCTAATCATTTCCATCAGCGCCTTGACCATTCATAGCACTATAAAACCCCCAAAAAAACAGTTCCCTCCCCCCTACCATAGGCTTCGTACCATCTCACGACAATAGTCCAAAGTGGCGAATGGTCTGGTCAGGAGATACCCGTGCCTAGGGTTTGCTGGATGTCAAATCAAGTTAACACGGTAAGATAGATAAAGGTAGAAAGTATATTTAACATCGTATAGAATTGTATATTGTAAATGTGTTACCATAAGCCAATCGACTTTACGCTCCTCACCCGCCACAACCAAACCAATTTTTGCATCCACCCCAGTTCCGTTGTTGGAAACAAGTTTCTTCAGCTTATTGTACGCAGAATTAATTAGTCTTAGCTTCTCCTGAAGTTTGTTACGGAATACGATGTATTAGTTTTAAGGACAAAGTCAACCCTTATTTGATTCCATACTGAGGGTTGAGGGTGCAAAGTTCGTTCTGACGAGGTTTCCGATATGGAATTGCAACCATAGGATGTGCATGAAAGACTTCTACTTGTACGTCCAATTCGCCCGAACCACATTTGTATATTGACTACTGCATCCCCCATTTGATATGGTACGAAAGATTCTAATGACGATAACTTGGGATGGAAAATATGAAGGGTGGAGTAAATTAACCTTGATAATGTAGATCTACTACCTGGGTAAGTATTAATGACTAGCCTTTCATTTTTTTTCACTTCTCTCTTTGGTAGCGTGTAGCTTCCCGCCGAGCTTTCCATGTCACCCATAATGCGCTCCAGCTTACCTACCTTCTATGTTATACGGGGTAATAAATAACATTACACATAAGGGGAATGATAGACTCAATATCCCCGTACGTTAATTCTATTCGAACTACATAACTAGGTTTACTATGGCTTATCTTACCTAATGTAGGTGCCCGCAACACAATTTAAGGTTTCATGGCAGTATAACACTGTTCAATTAAAGTGTATACCTACCCAAATAATTCACTTATTCAATCCCATCTAACATGATACAGAGCACCATAGTAGACATCTACCTCCCACCGTGCTTGCCGCAGCAACGTGGTCACAAAACCATCCCAATTAGAATTAACGACGATCCAAAACCTACGGCCCGTGCACTAGACTTGACTGTACAAGGAAATCTGCAACCTTCCAAATCTAACAACATGAAATCATATATAAAGGCAGCGTCTTCTACAACCTACATATCCAAAGGCAACCAAGCGTATTTCATTAACGTGTCATCCGAAAGGTGGGGGATAAGGACTTAACCCTGTTTAGGGAAGAAGTTTTGGAACTCCTTCACCCGCAACATCGACCTCACATTTAAACCTAACTTTAATGTTTTTCATACTGGCTATGACAAACAACCCACACCAAGCAAACTCTACTTCACCATCTACTACAAAATGTAATAGATCTAAGCTGACTATGACCCCAACAAATGTGAGAAAGAGCAAATCGCCACCAAATCCCACCCAAAATTAACATCATAAATACAGATTTTAGGGTTCAATGTAAATCCGATCACGAATGAATGAGTACCTGATGCATAGTCTCGACCACCGGTAGACGCTTGTGCTGAGGAAGACTTCCCAAAATCCCGCCGGAAAATCAGGAATGAAGCCGGTGATGCGGAATCTATTTCTCCGGTCACGCACACCTGGCAGCTCCCTGCGCTCTCCCAACAGACGATTCGAAAAGGGAAAATATATAGAGTAGAGATTAGGGTAGATGGAGCTATTTACTGCTGTAAATGTAGAAGGGCAAGAATTATTTCAGCCTGTTCTTTTCACAGTGTTGCAGACCGACATAGTAGATGGGACGGCTGCCTCGTCGGACGTGTGAATAGGTTGTAGACTTAGGTTACGTTCTTTTGTAAATTTTAATGCAAATTTTTATATTCAGATTCTTTTTTTTCTTTAAGAATACCAAATCAAACAATTACTTTTCTTTTTCTTATATTATACTATAAATTTATTATACATTCAAAATAATTTTTAGGTTGATTTTAACGGAAAACCCAACAGTAAAACCCGAGGGAAAAACCACAAGTAAACACAGCTAAAACAAAAACTTCAATAGCAGCATAAAAAAAATAAAAATAAAACTCCAATAGCAGTAGGCCTTTGTGCAAAAGCAAACATATTTTTCCCAACAAGGTCTAACTACAAGGCTAGCTAACAATGAATACACTAAACAAATAAAACAGAATGTGATAATTTGAATATATAAAAAACACATTAACAAGAAACTAAAGCTTCTGGAGTGCAAATTTCTTGAAGCAAAACCACCAGTCTACCACAAACATACGTAGTTTGTTCACTTTCACAAAATACTAAACCACTCTACGCGGCGTTCACAATAAAAATGCACTATCTTCTAACATAATATTTAAAAAACAAAAACACATATTAATAACACTTTCATAGTTTCCAATAACTAATAATAAAAGTTTAAACTTTCTAAACACAAGTGAACACAACCATGATGTAATTATTAGTAGAGAAAACTACACATAAGAACATGAACAACGAGGAAAAGGTTAATGGAAAGAATAAAGTGAATGTCATAAAGTGGAAGGAAGATATAAAATCAAAATAGTATAATTGAACTTCAAACAAAATGATTTAATTGGTAATTTAATAAAAGATTATAATTACCATTTTTTCTTTCCCCAAATTTCATCAATCTACAAGAGAAAGAAAATTGAAGTATTTTCCTTTCCTTTCCTTTCCTCCCCACCCCCCTACACTCCCCTCCAAAAAGATGTAAACCAAACACATTTAAAATACTTTTCCTTTCCTCCCCTCCTCCCTTTTCCACTTCATCTAAGACAAAAGAGATAGGAAAGTTTAAATTGTAACATGAATGGTTCAAATGCAAAGGATGGGATAAAAAGTATAGTTTTTGCATTTGGTTAAGGAGAGAGGAGGGCAGGGAAAATAAAATAAATTTACAATTATAACATTACAATTCCATTACATCATACTTAAAAGAAAAAAAAAAAAAAAAAAAAAACAGACAAGACAAATAATTGCATTAACATGGTAAATTTTCCTATAATCAACATGAAAAATAAATGTGATTATTTTCGATCAAATATAAATAATTTCAATCAGTGTATCTATAGCTGCAGCTTGTTTAATCTAAATAATTGAAACAACTGCAATCCTTTTCAATTAGTAATTACAATAAAATATTTAGCAAAATTCACCTGATTATCACCTAAATTATTTAATATAAATTTCATAGATTAATCTAACGAATTTAGTATTTACAACTGCAACTTGCTTAATCTAAATAATTAACAAATAGTTTATATTTCATGCGCAGATCCAACTATTCACAATCTAAGTTGAAAAATCACCAAATTATCACCCCTAAACTAATTTGAATTTAACACCCACAAACTACTCATTGCCAACTCCATTCATCAATATAGTTACCTGATTGATCAGACGAAGAAACGTAACTATCGGAACCTGACAGGATGCCATAAAGCCATCGAAATAATGTTGAATGACCAAAAGTCAGCCGAAACCTACCCATGACATTGTAGTGCAGTATGCCGACCTGGATATGCCAAGTAATAATCAACTAAAACCCGCTGCACAACCCTGCAAGAAAGTCCTCTATATTGATGACTATTAAGATTCGGTGATATTAAAATTAATATATATCTAACCAGAAGATACGTCTAGACAAAACAGCAAACATTTTCTAATAAGCGTGTCGTAGTTCAAATCACTTCATGCTCAGCTGACTTTAACTGGGACATACATACTTGGTTACATTTTCATTCATGATTAATGCAAGAGGATGTAATTGAATCCCAAAACTTGAGCATTCAGTAAGGGCCTTGTACTGCTTGCAGCTTCGAGGTATGCAACAAAAAAATGCGTGTTATGGCATTAATATATTCCATGCAAATCCAAGATTCTAACAAACAAAATGAATAGAATGGGTACGAACCTTGAACTTTAACCCAGTCACGAAGCAGAATCACCACCAGCTCAAATTACAAGCACCAAGTCCATGTATGAAGCAATTTCAGGCATGCATCAGACCATATTCCCAATCAGTTATTTCAGAAGATTTTTCAGAACTTCGAGATAGTGTAAGAAAAGACCATGGAAAAATCCACCAAAGTTTCAGACTTTGATTTTTAAAACTGGAGCACAGTGAAGTACTTCAATTTTGATTCTCCTCCATGTCGTGCCAACCATGTACCAATAATTTGCTGTTGGGATAGTAAAGATCTAGACACGTAATCCTCACTCTACGTTAAGGTAGTAACAGCATCACAGTCTATTACAAGCTTATGTCTATAAATGAAGTCTATCAAATCCATATGAAAGATGTGATCCCATTAGAATGGTCAATGAAACAAGGCACTCCCTCCAAATCAAAGTCCTACACCCCCCCACCTCCACCGAAGCTCTTTCTCCTCTCCAGATGACATATAATGTTAGTCGGAATACAAACCACATTTCCAAAACTTGAACACATGCAGGAACAAAGGGTAGTTGAATGAACAAGCTAGCAGAATCAATTTGTCTGCATTGCTTCTGAATGGTACTTGTCCAAATCCGCATCCAGATCCTCGGCAGATACCTTCACACCACGACCCCTGCCCCGTCCCCGACTGTTTCCAAAACCACGACCTCGTCCACCACCACCTCGTGATCTACCAAAACCACCTCGGCCTTGCCCACTGTTCCAGGGAGTAATTTCAACCAACATTAGATTAGATCAATCACCAATGACACAAACATAATAGACATGAAAAGAACAAATCTCTCAAAAACTTCTAGGGCAGTTACTTAGATTTGATGATATCTGTATCTATGACAATTTTTAGAATAAAAGCTAGTGTTCTGCTCTTAATCAGCATGTTTGCAATATATTTTATTAAGAATTTCACAGGTCATTCTCCTAGTTAGTACTTAATCAAAAATAATTTTTGATCATTTAACAAAACATATGGAGACTGCCCCATCTATATCATGGAGTATAAAAGTATAAATTACTGCCTGCATCTATAGCCACATTTTATAATTTTGTAAACTAAGGAATACGAATTAATATAGCCACTCAGTTATAATTCATCTACAACAATGAATTGATATATTTACTTTATATAAAATATACATGTCCAATTATAAACAAGGATAGTTATCTCTTGTCACATATTGCCTTCTGCAATCCTAATACAGAAAAAATGCCAGAAGAATCATAATTGATACTGACTTTCATCAAAAGAAAGATACATAGAATCAATTATATTTTAAGTTATTTTTTTTAAATACAATCCTAATTATAGAAACTAAAGCATGAACATGAAGGAGTGATCAAAATCTAAATAAGCATCTCAAACTCTTGGATCGAAAGTTTGCTTTCCATAATGACAGGAGTAGGACAAATGGAAAGGTTTGTTCTTCTTAATGACAGAAGTGAGCTAAATAAACAAACACCACAATGTTATATACAAACTAAAAGAGATACTCAAAAGTGATCATCTCATGGACTAACTAAACTAGGCACAATTTTCATGTAGCACTGACCACAGCGATATCATGTAAATGTTAGTCAAAAATAATCTACAAGTTCAAACTATCCACCTAGAAAGTGTAGGGAGGTGAGTAGAAGTTATATAAAGCCACTGATATACCTGCACATATGACATTACTTACGCAATATATGGTTATATAGAACAAATTAGATTATAACTTATGTTCTAATAAGGAATCAAGAATTATCTCAACACATGCAAACATATGCGCACATGTAGATAAATATGGAAGTGCTTATTTTTTATTTAATTTAAGCACTATTTATAATCCTGCAAAGTATTGAATCAAAAAGATTTTGATTCATAGAGGAAATTTCCCACTTATTCACACACAAAGCCTACACCAGTTTTATGTAGATCATTTCCCAAAAGTGTTGCGAGCAACAGAAAAGAGAAGGTTGATTCATCAAAATTACAAACCTTGGAGGAGCTAAAATAGGTTCAGAGAAAGCACCAACATATGGCAAACCAACAGCAGGAGTTGAAATGTTTGTCCCAACAAGCTCTATCTTCATTGGTTTTCCGTCAAGCTGAACATTATTATACCTTTTGACAGCAGCTAATGCTTCTTGCCTCCGTGCAAAGACAACTTCAGCGGTACCCTAAGAAAACCGATTGTGTAAAGCACAGCATGATGAGAACCTCCAACGAGCAGAATAGGCAAGAGATAATACCTTAGATCGGCCACTCCTATCATAGTTTACACCATACCTTTTTAGGTCACCAACCTCTGCAAAGAGCTCCTGCAATTCAAGGGTTAATCAGAAAGATTACAAATAGAGATGATTCATTAAAGTACATGCCATGGAGCAAGTGCTTGCAACAATTCCAGTATCACCCAAGTCTGATGCCATACTACCATTGAAATTATGATTTGTGATTAAATCATCCAACATCCATCAAGAAAGAAATCATAAAGGCAGATTATAAAACCAAGACAAAGAGCAAACAGGTAAACCTATCACAGTAGTGTTAAAAGAAAATCCAAATCCAAGAGCTATTATTTTCCTCAGTAGATTCTAGTTTTCGTCTGAAAAAAGTATGTGACAGTCTGTTTACTTATTTATTCAACTTTCTTTTCATACTATTCATAAAATTTTCTCTCTAAATAGCATAACATTCAAAACCTATTTTTCATTCAAAATATTATATACAGATACTACTTTGTTCAAAACATCACATTAACGCCTATTTACATCATATAAAATATATATTTTCAGTTTAACTTTTACTATTTTCAAAATAATCCCAAACTCCAAAACACTTCCAAATATATCTAATCACACCCTAGCTCATTCTTCAACCATCAGAAGGAAATAATCATGATCACAAACCTAACATTATCATCATCACAATCATAAACAAGTTACATATATTCAAAAACTTTCTTCTATAATCCTTTAGGAATTTACTTGTGATGTTATATTGTAGCTAGAGGTGGCTCCGTCACCTTTTGAATGCTCCTAGATCCCCAGGTATGCCTGGCATATTTGTTCCTTATTCTTTAGGTATTAATATACCTCTTTGATCTTTTCGATCAAAAAAAAAAAACTTCGTTCTATAGAAACCAAAAGAGCTACAAAAAATATGCTAATGCACAAACTTTTGGCCACTAGTATTTTAAAGTTTGTGACTCATTACAAAAATACCCCATTATAAGCAAATCAAGCAAGACACTTAGCCCTAAGAGGTGCTTCTGGTGAATGTCAGTGTACTTCTATACAAATATATACACATACAGCCAATAGTCAAAGTATCTTGGAAAATAATTAAAATATAGTCTGGAATACATCATTATAAATACGTTACGCCCCCCTCATGCTAGCACATATAGGTTGATCAACCCCAAGTTGTTGCAAAGATCGTGTATGTGATTTCCATGCATCACCTTTGTGAGTAGATCACCTAGTTGATCTTTTGTATCCCACATGCTATGCTACTAGGCAACCATCAATCCTTCATGTAATTTTTTTGAATAAATTGGCAATGAATCCCGAGGCTTCATTCATTTTTTATATATAAGGTTGTTAGCTATTTGTATAGAAGACTTATTTATCACATCACAATCTAACAGAAGTTGCTACATAAAACTCCATTTTTTTCCTTCAAAAGCTGAATCCACATGAACTCACAAGCTGAATGAGCCATGACTCAATCTTCTGATTCCGATCATCATTCAGATTACACACACTGCTCTTATTTTTCCAGGTGACCAAGTCATGTCCCACAAATATGCAATACCCTATAGCATACCATCTATTAATCTTGGAAACTACCCAATCTGCATGTCTAAAACACTCAATAAAATTGTGTCCACAGTTTTTATACACTATCCTCAATTTTAGAGTAACCTTTAGATATCTGAAGACTTGATCCAACACCTTCCAATGATGCACTGTAAATGCACTCATAATTTGATCCATAACACTAACAGGATAATTAATATTGCCAATGAGTCCGTATATTATCAGGGTCTTTCAACAATTATCCCTCTTTAGTTAATTGTTGATTTGGTACCATCAGGGCACTCCTATATGGAAATAAGATTACCTACTATATCTGCATAAAACTCTAAAAATCTATCGAAAATCACTATATATATATATATTACATGATCAACTTTTCGACCTTATTCAAGTCAACTTCCACATTCCACTACTCTGTAGAGACAACAATAACTCAATAGAATTGCCTAATAACTGGTCCATTAACCTTAGGCAGCAGCAGAGTGTAAGATCTAAACCAAAAAATGGACCAATGCATCCATTTTAACCTAAACTTCTGCACTAACCAAATCATTTGCAACTGCAAGTTAAACTACACACGCAGTGAAGTAAATTAAATGAACGAAACACAAAAGAAGCTTCTGGAATTAATAACAGACAACCATCAGTAGTGAATTTTAAACAGCTAACTAGAAATAAACCAGTAACAGACTCACAGAAGCTTCTTTTAATTACTCACAAATAAAAAGGATAACAGATCACCTTAATATCCTCATTAGACACCCCATAATCCAAATTGGAGATGTACAGCTTTGTTCCAGTCTCAATGCTCGGAGCTCGACTTCCCGCGGCGAACATATCATGACCCCATGCCGATTCCGGTGCCTTAAACAACGAATTCATCATCAATGAAAAATAAATCAATTAAATGCACCACCCCCCCCAACCCAACCCCTCTTCCAGCCTCAACCAACCCCATCAAGTATCAACCTGCACTACTAACATCAAAATCAGCAACGGAAACAGACCTTGGGGACGGAATATGGACCGATACGATTGGCGGATCTATTAGGCTGGCGACGTGCTGGTCCAGGCCCGGCGGCGCGGCCTCTGCCTCGCGCTCCCGTAGACGTCTTGTTACTCTTGATTAAATCATCGAGAGTCATGTCTAACGCAGCACCCGACATCTTCTACCACGAATTCGTAGGACGACGATATATGCAACTAGGGTTTGGAAGAGGAGAGGATTTGGGAAGAGCGTAAACAAGGGCTTCGACCGCTAGTAGAGACTGCGGACTGCGACCAAACCAAGCCAAAACGACTGCAGAATACAGATGTGCGTTAGACTCGCGTATATACGGCCGCAAACATTATTTAAAATTAATAAGGAATTTTAATAAATTCTATACTCCCTCCATCTCGTCGAAACGATTGTCATTTTTTATTTTTGTCCGTTTCAAAATTAGATTATCATTTTTTAATTTAGTAATTATATTACCTGCCTAATATAATAAATATTTTTCCAACTTACACTATATTACACAAATATCATTACTTTTACATTACACAATACTGATAAAGGTATTTTCGTCTTTTTCACTACAACTTATTATAATACTAGTATTAAAAAATTTACGTGCAAAAAGTAAACGGTAACCTTACACCGGGATAGAGAAAGTATTGTAATAACAGTTACTAATAATTTTGGTATATATAAGATTATTGAGCAAAAATCATTTTTAGTCTCATTCAATATCATAATTATCAATTTTGGTCACATTCAAAAAAAATTATCAATTTTAGTACCACTCAAATAAAAAATTTTCAATTTTAATCCCAAAATGGTTGACTGATACTGAACACAGTCGTGTTGGATGACTCATAAGGTGATTGAGCGTCCCAGGCAGCTAATACGGCCGTGTTGATTACCCTGTACTTCTAAACAAAATCGTGTTCCTGCCCGTTTTCCTCTCCACGTTCTGAACACAACCATGTTTCTGTCAATGTTCTCAATACAGTCATATTCCTGCTCATGTTCTCAATACAGTCATGTTCTAGGTCATGTTCACGACCTTGTTTTCAATATAATCATATTTTAGGTCATGTTTATATGATCAAAATAATATTTTAAAATTTTTACTATAAACTTGTAAAAATATATATAAGGATGATTATTAAAAATATCAAAATAAAAATATATATTAATATATTATTATTTTTATATCTTTTTGCAATTATTTTTTTAAAATATTAAAAATTGATTATTTTTTATATTATTATAAAATAATTATAAAAAATATTTTTGTTGAATTATAAATATATATATATATCAAATGATTTTAACCAAGTGAAAATAATAATAAAAATGACCTACAATATGATTATATAAAAAAAACATGGTCGTGAACATAGCCTAAAATATAGTTGTGTTAAGAATAGGGTCGTGAACATAGGGATGTGACTTGGAGGATATTGCATATATATAGAGAGGGGAACCGCGTCGCAAATGCCTTAGCGACTTTGGCGGTTTTCTCCCACTTGAGCGGACACTTCTCCCTTCAGATATTCTTTCGTCGATTAGAGGCCTCCTTCGAGCGGATGTTGCGGTCTCCCGACCTTCCGCTTCATGTAGCAGGCTTCACCCTATTCATTGATTCTTGACTTAGCCTTGATAGATGATATTTAGACTTGATAGCTTAGTATTTGATTTCGATGCCTTAGGCATATTGCTTTAGGCCTTGATACTTAGACTACTAGCTTGTCTTGTATGTTTGCTTTACTGAAACTGTATAGCTTGTATATAGAACTACGTATGGCTTGATCTCATTCGGGTACGTAAACAGCCCACTTTACGTGCGGCCACTGCTATATAGTTTTTTTTTTAAAAGAAAAAAAAATATAGCCTAAAACATGGCTGTGTTGAGAACATCAGCATAAATAATGCAGGAACATGGTTGTTTTAAGAACATGGGCATGAACATGGTTGTGTTCAGAACATAGGCAGAAATACAGTCGTATTCAGAAGTGCAGGGTAATCAACACGGTCGTGTTGGCTGCCTGGGACGCCCAATCACCTTCTGAGTCATCCAACACGGCCGTGTCCAGTTCCAGTCAACCATCTTGAGACTAAAATTGATAAATTTTAATTCGAGTGAAACTAAAATTGATATAAAAATAATAAAAAACATTAAATGAGACCAAAATTGATAGTTATGATATTGAATTGGACCAAAAATGATTTTTTCTCAAGACTATTTTACTAGTGTAAAGTTAATATGAAGATATTTATAGTATTTGGTATGAATATTTTATGAGTAGACAAAAAACATCAATTTGGTAAGAATATTTTATGTTTAAAAAATAAAAAATGACAAAATGTATATTTAGGGTGTGTTTGTTTAAAGGTTTAGATTTTTTTTTGTAGGGATTTGAATAGTAAAAATTTTAAATTAGAATAGTTGTATGATGTGATATAAATAGGTATTGATGTAATATTTTGAATGTAAAATTTATTTTTAGTATAATATAAAAAAAATTAAGTGTTTGATTTGATATTTTTTAAGAATTTTTTTTAATAAATAGTAAAAATTTGAAGAAATTGGATAAGAAAACACACCCTTAAGTGGATTGAATGAATATATATATTTGAATGACTATATTCCCCCGTCCCTAAACAATTTATCCATTTTTCTATTTTGGTTCGTCCCATAACAAAATATCCATTTTTTTTAGTAATTGTACTATCTACCTAACATTACAAATACCCTTCCAATTTACAATATATTACACAAATGTCATTATCTTTATATCATACAATACTACTAGGGTTAATTTAGTCTTTTTACCTTTATTTCTACTTTATTTCAATATAATACTAATAGTTCTAAAACTCCGTACAAAAAGCAAATAGATATATAGATATGAGACTGATAGAGTATATTTCAAATTCAAACTCAAACTATATATATTTTTTTATATAATGAATTGATAAATAATAGTAAGTCAAAATAATCTAAGATATTATTGGTGTTTTTATCCTTGCAAATACAAAGAAAATATGGTTTGTTTGAGCTTGAAAAAAAATTGGTTTTAGTTTAGCATGTAAATAATGTTTGATGAGATACTTTGTGAGAGAAATAAATGTATTTTTTTTTTTTAAAATACAGAGTTTAAATAGTAAAATTTGGAGAAACTTTGCTAAAAAAATAAAAATATTTTTATAAAAATTAAATGATATATTTTTATTTATATATAAATTATTTTATAATATGAAATGAATACTAAAATAAATCATTAACTTTGCACGGAAGAGGGAGCATGAATTTTCAATTAAAATATATTGATTCTTTCATAAAATATTATTTAAAACAAAATATCACATTAATTTGATGTTATGTTATGAATATAGAAAATAATTTTTAAATTAATAATAAAAATAAAAATATATATTTAATTTTAGGTTTTGTTTGTCTAATTAATTTTTACTCATTATGATTTTTTATATATATTTTATTATTTCACAAAAGACTACATTTAGTATAAAATATTATTTTTTACAGACAAAATAGCATAAAATCCAAGATGGTTTCTATAATTTGTTAAAAATCTCTTTCGTTCTAAAATTTCATATAAGTTATTCTTAGTTCTCAAAATATTGTATACTCGCGTCCCTTCCAAATTCCACTGATGGCGTTAATTTTTACCATGGGGGGATGTTCTGCCCCTAGTTGTATTGTTTTACTTTGAAATTTTTGGGGCAATGGGTAACGAATTACACCCAATTTACTTACATTCATTTATCCTAGATAACTTCCCATCATCCCGACACTCCAGTCAAACCAAATCATCCCTCATACGCTCTGACGCCGCACTCTCTCCGACTCCGCTGTCCGTCAAACGCTACCGCTTATGCCGCTACTGGCGCACTCACCCAGATTTTCCTTCGTTCGACGATCCATGTCCAGTTGACGGGCGACATGCGATTCTAGGGATCCAAACATCATTTATTTTGGTAAAATTTATCAAATCTCTCTTGAATTTAAGTAGAAACATATTCTTTTGCCAAGTATTTTAGCTTAATTTTGGTATTAAGAGTGAAATCCTCTTTTAGCCACATGTAATGGCAGGAACGGATTCCTTATGTTGAAAAAGTTGTAAATTTGTCTTTTTATGGTCAAATTTACTTTATTCTTCCATTTATTGTGCATATTTATCAGGAGCACCCCCTAAGGTAATAATACTATATCCTAAGTGGTGTATTATTTAGTATCTTGATATTTTTTCTTTCTAAACTAGTGCAGTAACATGAATTTTTTTAAACTGCAATATCTAAACTTGTGTCGTAATATGTTTAATACAATATCTTGTTCATTTATTTTTTTTACCATTTTATTGTTTATATTGTATTTTTGTATTATTGGTTAAAAAATTGTCTCACATTTCTTTTTTGCACTTCAAATAAGCATAACACATTGATGACTCCAAATATGAGCATATTCTTAGCTTGACAAAAATGTGTATTACTCGAATTTTTGCATAAGAACCATCAAAATAATTCGTAATCGGCATACAATATTGATTTATATCACTAGGCATGATCCAGAGTTCGTTGTTGAGATAATTAACGAATTTTGCTCTCTTAAGCGGTAATCTGGAACCAAAAAAGCTAAGGCAGACGCCGCAAGTGACAGCCGCCTTCGCTCGCAAGCGCCCAGAACACACTTTGAAAATACTAAGGCATGAGAGGCAAGCGGCCACCTTCACAGCCCGCAAGCGATAGCCTCTCCCGCTTGCAAACGATAATCCAGATACCCACCGCTGCAGACTATCACCAGATTTCAACTAAGTACTTCAACTGCAGCAGTACAACCATTCCAATTCCAGCCAGCACAAGCGAGCCGAGCTGCGCTGATGCCCTTCAGCTCTCCAGCAAGCAAGGAAGATCTGTGCCCTTAACCTTCAACGCAAGCGAAGCGGGCACCCTGGGAGTTATGGCCAGCAACTGCTTCAACAAAATAACTACCAGCAACCGCCTAACTGCCCAGCGGTTGGAACTGCCTAACAACTACTTGCAACCGTCTCTTTACACCTGCTATAAATAGGGCCAGATATCTTTATGTAAAAGAATCGAATTTTTTTGGTGATTTCTGCATACTTTAGCATTCGTCGTCTTCCTGTTTCAGAGAGCTCCAACCCTGTAAGGGAGTTCTCCACAGGAATGGCCAAGGGAGTAGGGGTTTTCCCTCTCCCTTGGTCACGTCTTTACTGCTTTCTTAGATTAGATTACTGCTTTCGTTTACAGCTTTGTAGTTCTAATCTTTCACGCTTTCGTA